TGAACGCATGCATCCGGAGTGTGTTTTCCGTGTCACGTAGGGCTGACCCCGGGAGTGATGGTGAGGGGTGCCATCAGCTAGAAAGCGCGTTCGTCTATGGTGTTCGTGGGGGGATGGATCATTGCCCAGCGCTGGATATATCCAATACGGTGAACGGCCTGTCTTACAACGGGAGGATGGTGAGCTCTTCCGGCAGGAAAATGCCCGCCTTCACACTGCCTGCACTACGCAACACCTCCCCGCGATGTTCGTCAACTGTCCTGGCCGGCACATTCGCCGGATTTCCCCCCGATCGAACATGTGCGGGGCCAATGTCTGACCAGGACTGCCTGCTCGATGTGAGGCGGTGCAGGAGGCATGAAAGTGTACCACGGGACACTATTCGCCACCTGTTCGGTGGGGTGCCAACCCACATCACTTGTACTGCTTGTACAGCCCGCGGTGGGTACACGCAGTATTGATATGGCGTTTCCGGTCCATGGTACTCTTTGTTGGTGGACGTGCGAGTCACAAATAGCACTGCCACGTCCGAGTGTGCTGTATCTTTACGGAGGAATAAATTATACAATACAATCGGGATGTTGAAATACTTTTTGCTGCCTGTGTATTATATTCAGTAACTATGTATTTGCCCATGTATTATCGACTTTGATGACCGTGTTTCGGGCACACCAATATAGCAGACGGCTCCGGGCCCTGGCTTCATTTGCGGAACATGGCAAAGGTGAGAACATTTTGAAAATGTACGGGGGAACTTCATGTAAAGTACCCCCAAATTTTAAAGATTTTTTCAAAATCTCAAAGGTTCGACGCGAGCCAGATCTACATGGGTTTCTTTATTTGGAAAAAACTCTACGCGTGGTTTAGGCGCTAATAGTGTTCACAGACACTAGACGGACGCTTTGAAAAAATAAACACATTTTCGGTATCAGGGGACCTCAAAACGTGTATTTCCGTCGAAATCGATTTTCCGCAGCATTACATAACGTTCCCTATACTGTGTATATTACTCCGTATATACACGTACGTATACGAGAAATTAAAGAAAAGAGGATTTTGCTTCAAATGAAATTTGTTGCCCGTAATTAGTTATTTATTCAGGTCATTTTTTAAATCTTTTTCTCAATATATATAGAAGTATCTTATATACGTGGTATAGAGAAAGTTATGTAATGCTGCGCAAAATCCATTTCGAGATTTCAACGGAAATACACGTTTTGGGATCCCCTGATACTGAAGTTTTTTAATTTTTTTTAACATCCGTTGGTATGTCTGTCTAACAACACCACTAGCGTCTAAACCATACGTAGGATTTTTTTTATTGAAAAAATTCCTGTCGATCTGGCTTGAATCGAAGCTTTGAGATTTTGAAAACTAATATTTTAAATTTGGGGGTACTTTATATAAAGCCACTGGGACATTTTTAAAATTATCAAAACTGCGCCAAATTTCTTGTAAGAATAAAATCCGCTAATCCGCCAGGTAACTTAGGTTTTATTTTCACGTTTAACCCGAAATTTCCGAAAATTGAAAAATAATTTAATTTTTTGGCGTCTTTCTGCAGCTACAAAAATAAAGACATAGATTTTTCCATGAACAACAATTTGTTGACATTAATTAGTTATTTCAATGAGGTCAAATACAATTTTTGAAAATCTTAGTTTTCGCGAAATATTAGGTGGAATATGTGCAATTTAAAAAATACGAACACAATTTACTCAAAAACCGCTTCATTTTTTCTTTAAACATTTTTTAGCGATGGCGCTAATGTTCTTTATAAGATGAAATAAACGGCATATTTTTTTATTCCTTTTTTCCCCCAAAAAATATAATTTATTTGCCTGGTCTCTCACGTCGTTGATATTTACATTGGTGGTGATTTGTTCACATTATTGCATTTATAAGTACACAAGCTCAAATTTCCACATCTTCAGAAACCTTCAAACTATTTTCTTAAAAAACAAACAAACACACACACAAATTTTCTTATCACACATTTTGTCCGGATACTGCTAATGTGCAATGTTGAAAATGACAGATAGTTTTGCAGTATTCTTCTGTTTTTAAAAAATTACACGCGTAATTTTGTGACTAACATTGCATGTTATTTTTTACTTTAATGGCAATGTTTACATTATTGTATTTATGAGAACATATGCTTGAAATGTCAAAGTTTATCGAAATCTCAAACTGCACTGTTCAATATAATCTGTAGTTTATTTAGGGGTATTCTTTCATTTTTTCAAAAATTACACAATAGTAATTTTCATGAAATATCTCTCACATTCTCATTTCCAGTCATATGTAAAAACTTCTGTATTTCTGAGTTAATGTGCTTCAAATGACTTCCAATAAAGTTTTTCATTTTTCGACTTCCAATTTCGTTTTTCTGTGAATAAAGCTTCAAATTTCGAATTTACAGTAGCGCTTAAACACCATTTTCTTAAAAACGGCTCCAAATATATCAGTAACAATTGCTATTTAGGATGAGGTTTTTCCACAATATACGTATTTATACAGTAGCGCAGTTGAGCACGTTTTTTTCTTTCCCGTATGCACTCGTATATACGTAGTATGGAATGGAGCGCGAAGAAACAGCAGGTTTTTGGCAGAAACAAAATCATTGCCGGGCCTCGATAACCAAGTGGATAAATCCAGTTGCTAAATTTAAAAAAATCCTAAAACATTTGGTGTAGCCAGAAGTTTGTGGTGGGTCCGTGAAAACGAAAAATGAATTGACAGCAAAACGTCCGTCTGTTAACAACACTACCAGCTAATCCATGCGTAGGATTTTTTCCAAATTGAAGAAATCAATGTCCATGTGGCTCAAGCCGAAGCTCTGAATTTATGAAAAACATTCTTTAAAATTTTGGGGTACTTTAGATGAAGCTGCCTGCACATTTTCAAAATTATTTCCAAACCGGCTCCAAATTTTTTCTTTATCTTTATTCTTAGGACAGTATTTAAGGGCGTCACAGATCCGGTTTTCACAGATAACTTTGAATTTTCAAGAATTGCACAAATGCAAGCCTGGATTTTATTTTGGCGTTTTCCTGCAACTACAATACTGATAAGATTTTTCCTTCAAATAAGATTTGTTCTCCATAGTTCTTTCATTAAGGTCATGTACATTCGTTTGAAATTTTTAATAGTTTTCACATAATATTACGAGCATTATGAGCAATTAATTACAAAAACAATCTTTTTTCTAAAAAGACTCCAGCTTTTTTCTTTCAACTTTTGGTAAAAATAGTGTTAAATGTACTCTATACGCTATATTGCTCTATTCATTGTATTTTTCAAAAATTACAAAAATGTAATTTTTTTCATGCTGTTAATATTTACAGTAGAGCCAAAAATACAATGTCTCTCATTTCTTTTATATTTACAGTACAGGTGATTTGATCACATTATATTTATGAGTAAATGTGCTTTAAATAATATCACAAAGTTTCTCGAAAACTCCACAGTTTTCTGTGAAAAACAGCTTAACATTCCCCACTTTCAGAACGCTTAAACACGATTTTCTCAAAAACTTCTCCAAATTTTCTTTTCAAACTTCTCAAATGGATAGTGCTAATTGTACCATTCAATTTTTTTTAAAAAATTGCACTTTTTTTTTGGCTTAAAATTTTGTATCTACCATAGCGCTTAAATGCCCTCTTCTTAAAAAGGTCTCCAAATTTTTCAATGAAAATTGCCATTTATGGCGCTGTTTTAGTGTTCTTTAATATTCCTCAAATAATATGTCTCTTCAACCATTAGGACACCACAAAATTAAGAACATAAAAAAAAGTACTTTGGACAGTGATAGATGGCAGCTGGCAAGAGTATGTGGCAAGACCGATTATTATGCCGAGGCAAAAAGAAATTGAAAACTAATACGGAAAGACTGTGTCATTCTGAAGCACCACCTATTAGGCTAGTTAGAGATGCGTGCACATACATCTAGTGATACTGGTGAAAATCGAATACAACCACAGACAACATTTACTGAAGTATATAGATTTGTTTGTAAACTTGCCATTATTAAGAGCTAATTAAAATCCTAAAAAAATAATTTATATTTTTTCTTGACCTTGTAGTTTTATATTCCTGAGATTTCAAGGGGTAAGTCATTAAAAAACACGTGGTTGTTTGTTTTAAAAGATCCATCTGTCTTATCTGGTGTGTGTGGACAACACTAGCGCCTGAACCATGCATAGGATGTTTTCCAAATTGAAGAAACTCCTGTCCATTTCACCAAAGTTGAAGCTCTGAGAGTTTGAAAGTCATTCATTAGTTTACGGGGGGACTTTACATGGAGCCCCTGGGACATTTTCAACTCTGAAATTAAGAAAATTTCAAAAGTGAATTTTTCGGGGTCTTCCAACAACTACAAAATTTCTTTCAAATATAATTTGTCCTAGATAGCAACTTCTTTCATTAAGGTCGCGCAACATATTCAATTTAAAAAAAATACTAAAACAAAATTTTCTTAAAAACGGATCCAAATTTTTTCTTTAAACATTTTGAATGGATAGAGGTAATTGCACTCTTTAACAGGACGTTAAGTTAATTTATGGGTATTTTTTGTTTTTTCAAAAATTACACAAACTTAAATTTTTTGAAAATCTTTAATGTGCTTGATATGCTTATTTCCAGCAATTTCTAAACACTATTGTATTTGTGAGTTGAAGTACTTAAAATGACTTTCAAATTAAGTTTTTTGAAAACTCAATTTTCTATGAAAAAGCTTCAAATTTTGAATATACAGTAGCGCTTAAACGCTGGTTTTTTAAAAACAGCTCTAAATTTTACAAAGAAAATAGCCACTTAGGAAGATATTTTACTGTTCTTTAATAATCTAAAAGTAGTATCTCCCCTCGACAATTAGGAAACCAAAAAATTAAGAAAATGGAAGAGAGAAAAAAAAAGAGAGGGGGAGAGAGAGAGAGAGGGAGAGAGAGAGAGAGAGAGAGAGNGAGAGAGAGAGGGAGAGAGAGAGGGAGAGAGAGAGAGGGAGAGAGAGGGAGAGAGAGAGGGAGAGTACTCTGAGGCCAAAAGAAATAGCAAACAAATATGGGAAAGTCTGTGCCATTCTGAGCACCGTAAGTTTAATTTTATTTTTATGGTAAAGCTGATAATTATTTAACAATGTTCTCTGTTGAAGGATAAGGTACAATGTAAGGTTAGTATAGGATTATCTAACTGCCTCACGAATTTATATAATTCTAATCAGTGATACACAGGATTTCAAGAAATTTGAAAATGGTTAAAAAAATATTCAATCAAACAATTCATAACTTCCTTCCACTCTTTTATAAAATTTACTCAGAACAAGATCTTCATGCAAGGTGGTAAAATATTTAAGATACATTATTTTCAGAAAGTAATGAGCTATAATTACAATTCCATTGTACATTTCATGTATTCAAGGAAACCTAAAACAGTCATTTAAAAAAATACACCCCTATTTCAAACCAATAAATAAATAAAATAACATTCAACGAATAACTTTCTGAAATAAAACTTCTGCAGTGTCAAATACATTTAAAGTGAACCTGTAAACCATGCCTGTTAACTCATCCCAGATATTTTGCGTGCTTTGGTGCGTTGTCAAAATTCACTATTGTAGAGGAAAGTTCCTCTTACAATGTTATACACTGAGAAACTATTACAAAACAATACTAAAAGACAATCAATATATGCAACATGAACCAAATTTACCCTGAATGAAGAAATCATCATTCATATCAACTTTGAGCACAAATGGTCATAGAAAATCGACCTCTGGTTTCTGTTCACTGCAATTGTCATATTTGACATTAAAAAGGATTGACATCTGCAAAACAGCTCCACTGAAATTTTACAACAGTCCATCTCAATGTGCTGAAAGACCGGATACCAAATTTGTCGCACAAATTTTCATTTTAATTATTAATACACACAGATCTCATTTTCAACAATTCAAAGTAATAGATAATAAACATGGCAGACACTCACCGATTACTAAACAATCACACTAATGTTGAATTTAGAATGTTTTAATTTGAATTAAAATTAGTCTTCAATGAGAGGAACTTACTATCTGTCAGTCATTACATTTGCAACTTTCAGATTCCTCAATCATGTCAGCCATGAAAAGGTTCATTTCACCACAAATAGTGTACATAACAAGACACTAAATTTCAAGGTATTTCTTGAAGCAATTGACGAAAAACTCAAATAAGTAACTCTCAACTGCATATTCACGTATATACCGTATAAATAAGTCATCATGGAAAAAGGGTTTGTCATTGTCCTATATTGAATTTTACAAAGTATTTAAGTTTTTCTCCCATTTGTAATTTACTTATTATCTAACACTGACCTGAAGTTGTCACAGATTAACCTTTACCTCACAAGGGTCAATTAACCTCCACAAGGTGCTCTGGGAATTAATTTCAACAAGAAAATTATTCAGTTGTACTAACACTCCACAAAATGTGAATATTTACTATGAAATACTTTCATCCAACACAGACATGTTACCCTCCACACTGGTTTCACAAAGAAGTTTTGAAGATCCTTCTACAACTGATGCTGCATTAGCGTCAGATCTTATAAGGCAATTGATTACTCGCTCAGTCTGTGCAATTCCACGGCTACTCCCAACTGCCTAAAAAAGGGTAGAAAAGATATAAAAAACAATTTCACGTAGTAATAAACATAGATAAAAAAGAGAGCTTATCACCACACTTACTGAGGCAGTAAGATTCATAAAATTGTAGACTTTTTGAAGAACTGAGATAATTGTCTTGAAATTTCCCTCTGGCAAACACTGGCGCACATATAATTCATATTCCTGGGCAACACAAAAACATTGAAACCTTATTAAAGAAAAGGTCAATTATTCACACAGTCATTCAATATTTTTGAAAAATCCTATTAACCTTATTATCTATAATCAGGTACCCAAGCAGCAGACCGATATATGCTCCAATCAGTGTGTGTTCCATGTTGCGCCCTGCCTTCTGGAGTACTAAAACATACAATTTTCTTGAAAATTTAACTTTCACAGAAGGAAACAGGATGATGCACTTCAAAAACTACAACATACAGCATCCAAAAATCAATGTTTCCCAAGGAGACAAAAAAAATATAGACATTCTCATATACGTCGGTTCCACTTTCCTTGATATTCCACAAGCAGGATAATGTAAGCACAACTTGAATTCATTAAAGATGTATTCAGTGTGTGAGCGTGTGTGTAAGGAAGTGAGCGAATGAGCGAGGGAAAGTGTGTGAGAAAGTGAATGCAGGAAAGTGAGTAAGAGCGTGAAACGAGTGCATTAGCGTGCACGTGACTGTGCAGGAGGGCGGGCATGTGTTGTTAAGACTTCATGTTAAGGATCCCCCAAAATAAAAATATCCATTTTAACCTCGCAAGCACTCAGATTTTAAGTATTTGTATCGAGGATGCACAAAATATGGAATCTGACTAACACTGGTTAGAGAAAGTAATTTACTACTTGTAGAAACAAGATTTATCCACATGTATGATATTAGGACCCCACAACAAGGTTTACTGTTTCAAAATGCAAAAATTTTGGGGTACAGCATTACAATACTTTCTCTATACTACGTAAGTAGTATGTAAAAATGTTGGGAGCTCATGTGCATGTAATACTGGCAATTAAATGTGTGTGTGTGTGTGTGTGTGTGTGTGAAATTACCATTACTTGTCTCGATAAGCTGTGAAGAGTTACAGTTGTGATTTAAACATTTGTATTGTAAGTAAGTAAGTAAGTAAGTAAGTAAGTACGTAATTAATGTCAAATGTTCTGGGCTACCAACATATTAGATTTTTGCACCCCACACCATTAACATATATTTTTTTTTAAAATTATAATTTTTTTTTTTTCTTTTTTTCTCTTTATTTCTTCCCCTTATTTTCTTTTTTTCAATTTATAAAATTTAATATTTTATTAATTTTTTATTAAATTAATATATATTAATATATATATATATATATATATATAATATATATATATATATATATATATAAAAAACCCATTACATTTTGGAACAGTTTTTCCCCAACTGAACTCTTCATGACTCTTTGGTTGTGCTACTTCAGCTTCAGGTTCTTCTGTGTCTCTCTTCCCATCCAGAATAGCATCAGTTTTTACTTCCTCAACTCTTGCTAATTGTTCATGCTCGTAAAACAACTTGATGAGAATCTTCACTGCACTATTGTCTTGCACTAAAATGAAAACAATACAATCAAAAGAATTTTTGTCTAAGGACACATGTAAGACCAACCTGTTTACTGTACATGTTTATGTAAATACTACTTTGATTATATTGCAAAATTTCAAATTGCATTATAAAGATATTTCTCATTACAATGAAACAAGGTGTCCTAAAATACAGGAATGCACTATAAGGCAATATCAGATCCAAAAATAAAATTGTTTTGATGGAATAAGTATGAATGAGTAATAATGATAACAATAATATAATAACATGAATAATAATTGAATACACAACATGACAGTTCTTGAAGATATAATTCAAAATTATGCAAGTCAAAAAACAAAATATGTAATATCAAAACGAAATGAGATCATTTAAAGTAGGCGAATTTATCTTCCTAAAATGAATGGAAGTGGAATACAGAATAATTAGCCAATATCAGGCACACAAATAAAATAGTAAATTTAACAAATAATTTTAAAAGTAAATTTAAGATAAGCAGTGAGATTCGATGGAAAAAAAAGTTTGTACACACACACACACACAGATAATGACCAACAACACCAGGATATGATAAAGGAAACAGCTTTGCGGTAGGTGTCGCAGGTCACATGTGAGAGTTCACCAGAATTACTAACTTTGCAGAAATATAATACTTTTACGAAAAGAGTCCAAATATGCCTTATACGCATAATAAAAATCTTGTTAAAATTATTGGAAATTTGGTGTTTTATACAAACTAAGAGAGCATACTTTCTGAGGGTAGTGAAAAAAATGCAATTGCATTGATAACTCATCCGTAATGATTACCAAAATTATGAAACGAGTCTTCAGTGCATAACTTACAAGGGAAAATGTCATCATCAAAACATATTCGAGCTTCCATTAGTATTCTCCTATTTTCTTCACTGTGTTCAACAAGATTGATAAGTAGTATCAGGCCCTGAAAAAGTACATCACTTACTCAGAACAGGTTTTTTTAATAAATGTGAAGACAACATGGCCAGAGAAGAAAAGAAGCCTACAAGTTAATAAGAATAACATACCAACACAAGAAGATCAAACTTCTTCTGATCTGGAACATATTTGGGTACTTCCAATATAACATGCATACACGTATTCACTATGCCTTTTCGCTGACCCACTAATGTACTTCCATAGGCTGAAAAACAAAAATCAAAATTATGAATCCAATCATTTAAATCAGAAACTAACACAAAATTAACCCAAAAGTAATTTATTGTTTTCCAAAAGAAGAGTAATTTAAAAAAATGCGTACATCCAAAAGCCAATTCACAGAGTAATGTAAAAAAAATAATGTTTAACATGGTAAAATAACAGTAACATTGAGACACTTTAAAGTTATGGAATTAAAAGCATTAATAAAGGGTTACCAGCTATACAGATTTCCTGTAGCAACCTTAACTTAAGAAATAATACAGTGACTCTCAAAATTGAACGTACACATTTTAGGATACCATAATTCTTCTCATATGAATATTTCTGGAAATAAAATATGTAATTGTGATATTTGAGATTTCCTGGAAGGACTAGTGCAATTTGAAAGCAGAAAATTGCTTTATTAGGTGTAAAATTAAATATAGTAAGAGATACCTACGATAAGCAAAACAAATGTACACAATCACAAGTGCGCTTTCAAATGTACCAGTTGGGAATGTTTTCTTGCACACAAAGTAGTGACAAATAGATTAGTTCATGTCAGATTTGTGGAGAGCATCATCAAAATAAAAATATCCTCGAGAAGGGAAACTACATTGGAAGAACCAAGACTTACACTGAATTTAACATGAGGGGAAGATCCCTATGAGATACTGCGATGACAATGGGAAGACGACATTCAACTACATGGTATGTTAGATCAATTAAAGTACAATGGCTGATTAATTAATAAAATAGGCTGAGGCTGAAATTTGATACTCAATGAACGAGATAAAACAAATAGTCAATAACATCAGCAGGAATCTTTGCCAAAGTGTCGTTAAAATGACTCAGTGGGTGGTTTCAACAATAGGAAACTATCCACAGAAACTGTCAGAAAGGCACTACGAGACGCAGGTTACAATGGGAGAGTAGCGAAGAAGAAGCCTTGGATTTGTAAGGCAAATCTGCACAATACACTGCAGTTCACAAAATAATATTGACACCACCCTTCAGACTACAAACAGTGATTTACAGTGATGAAACTAAATTCAAGATATTTGGATCAGATGGGCAACAGTACATGTGGAGGAAGGAATTAGAAGATTAAATGTTTGTGAAACTGTTAAGCACGGCAAGGGCATGGGCTAATATGTCTCCGCAAGGGCATGGGCTAATATGTCTCCGTAATGGCATGGGGCAATATGTCTGCGTCAGGTGCTGGGAAATTCCATTTTATTGATTCCACAAATGACAAATTTGTATATTTATTTTAGAAAGTAACGTCAAACAAAGTGGGGTGAATCTTGCACGGGGGCCAACATGTTACTTTCAGCAGGACAACGCGGTCATCCATAAAGCACTTATTGTGAAGAAATGGTTGTAATATTATGTACCAAAGCACCTTGAAAAATGATCACAATCACCCTATTTTAATCCTTTTGAGAACATTTGTGAGAATTTAAAAAACATTTACAGAAGCATTAAGTTTCGAATAAAAAGGGGCTCAAGGGGGTTCTCTCAGAAAAATGGAAGAAAATCGTTTGCATATGCGTTAGGAGAAGATTTATTTTTTACATATTATTTATTCAGTTGTTTCAAGTAATTTTTGTAATGTATGAGTGAAGTAGGTTTGCATTAATACCTATACTTATTTTGTACCACACATTTCTGCAATAAATATTTTTTTAATGTCATTTTGTATTTTCTTACATAGTGTATGGTAAATTTTGAGAGCCACAGTAAATACAGTAAGTCTGTATTTATTATTAGGCCAGGGAGAGAACATGTAGTGATGAGGTGAGTGCAGTACAAAGGCAGTGGTGTTATGTTGAAGAACATGATGGCCATGAAGCCTCACACCAGAATATGTGGGAGGAAACTGTTGGTAAGATGAGTATTGTACCAGCAGTGAGAGTAAGATGTGGATATGTAAAAGGGATGTAAATCTGAAGCAAAATTGTGAATCAAAGAACCTGTGGTAAAATTGTGAGTCAAAGAACCTGCGGTAAAATTGTGAGTCAAAGAACCTACGGTAAAATTGTGAGTCAAAGAATCTGATATAAAATTGTGGGTCTAAGAATCTGATGCAAAATTGTGATTTAGACTAGTATGATAAGATTGTAATAATTTGTGCTTAGTAGCAAGAGAAATCCCATATGTTATAGCCCTGATAAGTTACTACAAGCTGGAACATTGGCAGTTAAAACCACTTTTCTTCTTTTCACCTAAACTCAAGAAAGTACATTAAAATGCAAGTGAATACATAAAGGAATTATATTATTTGAAGCCCATGTGCAACACATCTTGGCTATCATTTGCACGAAATTGCACATTTTGGCCGATACTGCCTGGAAATATTGTAATTTCTCAGAAAATTATTTGGGAATGTTCTTAATTGAAAATTATAATAAAAACAATTACGAACATTCTTTGTATAACTTAATTTTTTAAAATTTGGTTTCTGAAGGTAATTTTATATTTTTCAATTTTTTTATTTACTTTATTGCATATTTGTGCTAATTTAATTTTTGTGTGTGGAATAATAAATAAAATGTCCAATATGATTGGTTTAAAAAATATGTACAAATTAAATTATAATAATCATACTAAAATCATATTTCATTGACCTGAAATATCACAACCAAAATGTAAAATAACTTGATAAGTGGATTAACAAACTTTTGGGCTACTTAGTACAGTTTTGTAAAGTTTTGCTATTTTTATTGCACGTGTTTGCACGTCTTGAGAATTTAGAGCACGTTTTAGAAAGTTTTGCTGCATGAAAATACGGAGTTTCTTCATTAATAATCATAGGGCATTTGGTGCGAACATGAATTCTTGAAAAATTAATTGCATCAATACAAATTCAACATCCAAAACTGTATTCCTTACGACCAGAAATGATAGATCCTAACAATAAAGTAGTATTTCTTTAAACTGCAAACTGCTGTGACATGGCACTGCCAATGTATTGTGACCTGATATCTTGTGAAAGAGACTAATCAGCAAAATATGCATGGGAAATTTGGGTCTGCAATTTCAAAGATTTGCAATGATTAGACAAAACTTTTCATATTTCCAAAAAATTTACATGAACTTTTTTCATGATCTTGTAAAAACAGATTTCATTATCTAAGCACTGGAAAATATAACTTTAAATGGCCCAAGAGCCTTGTTGGAATTCTATACATAATTCTATACATAAGAACAGATGCTATTATTAACAATTATATAAAGAAATATGAGGTTGTTATGTTCTGAAAGATTTCAGAGTTGGTATATTTTACAGAGACAAATTTCTCGAATAATTATGATCCGGATATGGATCAGAAAGGCCCAATGTGGATGATATGCTTTTGAAAAAATGTATGCTTATCTCTCTTTAGGCTGTTAACTGAAGGACAAAGTAGGGTGACCATACAATTGAAGCAAAAAAGATGTGATCTTACTAAGGAAAGCTTTCTAGGCAGCAACACTCCTGGTCTCCTTACAAGTCCTTTTAATCAAACCAAGCTGTTGTAAGGATTCGTTAATGGTCATATCTGGGTGTTGAACAAAAGTAATTTTGGCATTAACTCTGACCCTGAGGTCTCTAATGGAAAACCTACAACCTAGATTTGAGCCACTGATGGAGTAGAAGCTTTAAAGGATATTTGGGGTTCTGGAGAAGGTGATAACCATACATTCGCAGAGGACGGTCATTATATCCAGTTGAAGGTATGAAGAACTGATAGACTATCTTGAAGGGTAGTATTATCATTTGCACATTTTACACATTTAAACAATTTGATATCTGCAAAAAGCAGGAGCATAACTTGATTCATAATTGATCATGTAACATTTAACAATAAAAAATAAGGTGGGTACCTTGAAGGACACCTGAATTTGTTTCGCCACACATAAAATGTCTACATTTAACAAATTGAATATTGCCTAACCACTTCAAGGTTAACGGAGTCAAACACTTTACTGAAGTCAGCATAAATGTTGCCTACCTGGATCTATTTCCCCAAAGCTTCATGAATGAAATGATTGTAAGAAACTAAATTGGTTCCGATATTTCATCCTGGCATTAATCCATGATTAATCGATATGAATAGAATTATTTTAGATTTAATCTGGTCAGTAACAATTGATTTGAAAAGTTTGGGTATAGTGCTTAGAATGGAAGTTGGCGTATAATTTGACACTTCATTTTTGGATCCAGTTTTGTGAATTGGTGTGATAAAGGCCAATTTCCACTCTGATGGATATTTACCTTCAATTAATGATCTCTCAAAAAATATTTGCAATATGAATAAAAAAAATAAATTTACAATGAACTAGAAGAATGGGAAGTATTCCATCTGGACCAACACATATTAATATCAAGTTCACAGATTTTTTGAAAGACTTCATTACTTAAAATATCAAAAGATATTATAGGGCGTTTGCATAGAGAAATTGAGGTTGGTAATATCAACACTATTTATTGGTCTGTAAAATATCTAGCAAACATTTACAACAGACATACCTTCAATTAGCGATTCAGATAAATATTACATACGACTTGGGAGTCAGATCTACTCAGATCTTTTACTGTTATAATATTTCCAGAAGCTTTTTTGGATTGTCTACGAATGAATTGGCCACATTGGGGCAGTAATCTCTGAAATCTCTCCTCAATAAGAACTTTCATTTACTTCTCAGATTTGAAAAAGTCTGGTAAACTAAATTTGAATTAGGTACTCGTTTTCTATTCTTTATGAGCTCCCATTTTTAAAATAATTTATGTTTTCAATAAATTGCTTTTCCACTCTGCAAATTTTTAATCAATTAATCAAGAGAAAGAAAGAGAGAGAAAAGGAAGAAAGAGAGAGAGAGAGAGAAAAGGAAAAAAGAGAGAGAGAAAAGGAAGAAAGAGAGAGAGAGAGAGAAAAGGAAAAAAGAGAGAGAGAAAAGGAAAAAAGAGAGAGAGAAAAGGAA